GTTTGTACAAGACAGTGTTTTCATGGATAATAATACTAATATTTGTACCAGGTAACTGTACAACAACACGAATATTTGTATCAAATAAATGATTCCATTACAATAATACCAATGATTGCATCAGAAAATGTTTTCATGGAAAATAAAATGTAACATATAATCGTACCCATGGACGTTAATATTAAGGTACTTTAAGAAACGAGAGAGAGAGAGAGAGAGAGAGAGAGAGAGAGAGCTTTAAACATGTAGGCTAATACATCTTTATACATATTCTCCACATAGATCCCCGTGTTTTTTTTTTAGGGGGGGGGGGATAAAACATCCAAGGTGTACACTTTGATAAGAGACAAGAAATAAATTAACAACTCCATAAAAATCTATATCATTTAGGTAAATTGCTATAGCATATGCCATTGTCTTCGACATATTTCATTAATACCTAAAAAGTGAGAAGAAAATTGACGAATCTTTAGAAATACATTAAGAATGGGCGATACAGTTATATTATCTTTGAAAACATCTTCATTGATATTCCAACGTTTATTTTTTTTATGGTGTAATACATTATTTTGTAGCAAGGTGGTTTATGTAAATTCTGAATTTCAATTATCTATTGTATAATCTGCTTAGTCATGATCATTAAAAGCGTTTAGAAGACAATTTAAATTCAATTTCTACAACACAAGTAAATCATGGAGGCCTTTCCTGTCTATTTATTTGTTTTTAACAATATACTAATTAGTTTTTGGTGTTTGATAAATAGTAGATATACAAAACTTGATAAATGATATTTACATGCTCTATTCTACATGTAGGTAATAATTAATATGCGATCCAGTTTTATTATCCAAGTATATTCGATTTATTTTCAAAGTCGGAGATTGCATATTTTTCCAAAAATTGATATTGTGAAACAGTTCTTATTTTAGGACTGACTAGTTGACTTTTGCCCTCATACCATGCATCGTCGGATACCCTCGGGTGATCTCGTCTTTTACTCATCAGTAAAATACGAGATCACCCGTGGGTATCCGACGATGCTTACCATGTAGAAAAAAAAATTCAATATTAATACTTAGATCATGGCCGTAGGAATAGGGGGTAGACGGACTTTTTAAATTTTTTTTATTTGCTTTTCAAGGAATTTTTGCTTGGTAGTGCCCCCCTCCCCCTACTGGAAATGTGTTTGGTTGTGCGCCCCCAAACTGAAATTACTTCCTACGGATCGGTAGATTACGATAAAATGTCTTCACTGAAGAGTGGAGTCACGTTGCACATTTCATATTTGCGGAAAACGTTTTTATTAAAATGTTCTTTATCCTGCATTTGTTTCATAATTCTCAATAAGTTTGGTTTAAATGATTATTTTCTTTTATTATGTCTGGTCGTACATGTATATACTTATTAGTTAATGTGTGGTAACCATTATCATTCTGTGGCTTGTGTCGAATCAGATCGTTATTGCAACATTTAATAGCCCCTATTTGTCATATATGCATTGAATATATAGGTCATGATCATAACAACTCGGATAAATGTCATATGTATATGAAAAACTCTGAGGAGCATGTTTCTGGTAGACCAAAGAACAACTTCCTGTATGGCGTGATTTTGCTGTTTTCTCCGTATAGCGAAATATCAGTCTTATTGGCAAGGTCACAGGAAGGTTAGAACCATTCATATATCGACGACGTATTATCAATTAACAATAGTTACTTTCATTCATATGTCGACTCGATATATCCAAGTGAGCTTGAAATAAAAGATACCAAAGATTCTGACACATCTGTTTCAAATTTGGATATTTTAGAAGAAAAAGACGTTAATGGTAACCTAACAACAAAGCTTTATGATAAACGTGAGACTTTAACTTTTCAATCGTTAATAATTTCCCTTACTTATGTAACAATAAACCCTTATCACCTGCATATGGGGTTTATGTCTCTCAGTTGATTCGATACGCAAGAGCATGCTCTACATATGAACAATTTCTATAACGAGGCAAACTATTGACAAACAAGTTGATGAAACAAGGATATCAAAAGTCTCGTCTGAAGTCATCATTTCGCAAGTTTTACGGTCGATGCAATGACCTTGTCAGCACATAAACCTATCATTAAGTCAAATGCTGACTTATGTTTTTCATGTATACTGATTGTTAGGCCATTACTTATTCGCTGAACTGTTTACGGATTTTTACGTTTTTTCCCGATCATGACAAGGAGCACACGGCGGGTGTGACCGGTCGGCAGGGTATGCTCACTCCTCCATGGCACCTGATCCCACCTCTAAATTTTGAGTTCCGTGTTTGCTATGCTCCAAATTTGTATCGTTTCATTGAACTTTCGAGATTGAATACTATACAATTATGGACTCTTTCGGTGGTGAATATGGTTTGTTATTCATCAGAAAAATATCAAAATTGACCGAGGCGAAGCGGTTGTATAGATTATATAGGGACTATAAATAGACTATATAATAATGTTCGTTATCTTCTTATTTCATAATTTATCGATTTTAATGGAGTATAATTAAATTATGAATTAATGTTCTTGAACACTGAAATAAAATTAATTTCTAACTGATTTGAAGTTGTCATGCAATTAATTGTACATTGTAAGAAACCGTCAATTATACCAACCTACCTATGAAATGCATTGGATATATGCCGAATACAGTTCTGTATGAAAAAAATATCAGTCAGTTTGAGCCCCGTTTGGGCCGAAAACTGTCTGATATATTTTCATACAGAATTGTATGAGGCATATATCGTACTTAAAACACTGCTTTTTTATCTAGTCTTGAGACAGTCCGATATTATAACAAAAGACAAAAGTGTAACACAGTGTAATGACCACTGAAGCATTTCTTTCAAGAATGCAGGCTTAAATGTTTGATACGGAGAGTGGGGACACTATTTTCTTCTTTTAAACATACACAAAGCTTAAATTAAAGCAATGTATCGGATTATGATACAGAAAATCTAGTGAATTATGTTTTTGGAATGGAAAGGAAAACAGATACGTATGAACTTTGATTTGAACAGAACAACCTCAGAGAATAAAGCAGATGCTGAAGGTATATTAGACCATTCTAATTTTTTTCTATGTTTAGCGCGTCCGTATGTAAAACTCTTCTATGGTTAAAACTCTGCTTATAGTGGTCAAGTACTTCGTAATTATCAGTTCAACCCAGATAAGGAAATTTGTGACTTATAGTTTGCACTAAATTATTGATTGTATATTACTTAACACTGATAGTATTTCAACCATATTTTGGTGGTAAAGATGATTTCTTATGACCGGTTTTTGAATGTTTTGGGGTTTCTCTGGCGGCCCCCGTTAGTCTACCCTTTTTAAAAACCATTTTGCGAGCCAATGGGGTTGAAACATTTCTTAAAGTTTAATAAGTTTATTACAAGTTTAGGGGCCCGTCTTTTTGCATCATCTGGTCTGTCGTATTTTCTTCCTTCCTCTTACAGTATATTCGGTTTTGATTACATGTAGAAGTTTAATTCTTCATCAATATTTTGTTTCAAAATCATCACTGTAATTATGAAATTGAACTTATTTGCTGTTTGCTAAATAATCACACTTTTTAATTCTTTTGTTCAGTAACAGTCCAATTTTGAAGGATATCAGTACTGAGACAGTCTGATATTACACTTAATCTCAGACTGCTCACTAATATCGGACTGCCACAGGTAAATTTTTAGACTGCAAGAACAAAGGCAATGTTTTAAAGTAGACTTAAATCATGACACGATGAGTTTCGAACAAAGAAACAATATATCTTGGCTGGAAAGCCTCGTCTTTTAATGTACTAGTACCCATCCGATACCATTTTTTTGAGTTGAGTATTTATAGTTACATATCTACATTGGATATATAGTTTTAACAAAGAACTAGTTGATTTTATTATTATATACCGAAAGGCTTTAATGGCTAAGGTTATAGCTACAGTATAAGAATTTTGACGACTATTTTAAAAATCTTATCAAATTAATCAACGTTCTTCTATTTACACATTTTGTTAATTTTTATTATAGTATTTCCGATTTATTAAAGTTTGTCCACGCGTATATTTTGTTGGCTTTGAAAATTTAAACACAGCAATTCAAGCGCTTTCTTAAGGTATTCATTATTTGAATTTTCTATTAATTTTGCAAAATATTTGTGGTTTTGTGGTTGTTTTTTTACAACCTTTCCTCTTTCATAAGTCATTGAATTAAGACATCATTGCCTCTCAATGAATGTGAAATATGATTAACGCACACATACAGAAAGATATAACCGATTTTTCCGTGTAGATTTTATCTAAATATATATGTTAATAAAAGTTTATATCAACAAATATTTTAAGTTAATATTTAGTAAGCTATATACTATATCGTTTTATTATTGCCGTTGTTGATTACATTGGAAAATTATTGTTATAAATAAGGAAAATACTGGCGTTGAAAGATTTTGTGCTTTCCATAAAGGAGAAAAAAAAAATAAATATTTTGTAGGCAATCTTGAAATATATGTTTCAATATGAACATAGCTCTGCATGTTTGAAAAATGATTCAGATTAAAAAAAAAATTTGCCAGAGAAGATATGTGAGTATGTGGATTCTTCCCCAAAGAAGATTTATATATCAGTTTCATATATATATATATATATATATATATATATATATATATATATATATATATATATATATATATATATATATATATATATACATACATATATATATATATATATATATATATATATATATATATATATATATATATATATATATATATATATATATATATAAATGATCTCCCTGAATTTAAGTCATGAAATGAATTTTCAAATTACAAATATCGTAAGTAAAAAAAATGGACCGAAACATCTCTCTCTCTCTTTCACGAAAAAAAAGAGTTGTTTTATTCAAAAGCAGGGTTTTTTTTTTTTTAGCATTTTTAAGAATTATGACATTAAATTCAGATCATTGGAAAAATGCTTACCATGGTTTAGATTATTGATGCACAAGATTACCAGAGTTATCTCCCCATGTCATTCTCAGATTTACACCCAGCCAATCACGTCCGACTCCAATGTCAAAATCGAGACGTCTGCGCATAACTGTCTGGCTTGCAATTTTTTTCATTGGTCGAAACACAGACACTAATTAACATTTTCCAAAAAGCACCTCTCAGCTATTTGTAAATTGAATGACTTGGTTTCTTAGACGATGCCAATGATATAATTTACAAAGCGGTAAGGTCCCCGACAAGCAGTGACCCTACAGATGTGTTTAATTCATAAGCCAGGGAGATTTAGAATTTTCTAATTTTAGAAGCCAACAGGGCAGAGCTACTAAGAAAATAATAAAAAAAAAGTTTGATTAGAATGTGTATACACTCCCTAATTATCTGTCTGTGCTGAGTCAGTATTCAAAGTACGTGTATGTTATGTAATATACTTAACATGTTGCAGAGGTAGGTTTATTTGGCCGGGGATACCATTTATAAGTCTCAAATCCTAACCCCCTCCCCTAGGGACCCCTGGAGAAGTGTAAGCATTCATCTTATTTTTTTTAAATATCTCTTTTACAATACGAATTAACTATTTCATGAAAACTTGTGTAAAGACAAAAGATTTAACCTGTTTTCTTTATCAGTCACGTCTCTTCTCTTAGGGTTAGGGTAGTCTTGCTAAGTATTAAGTCAGTAAAAGTGGAAAAAAAGTCCGAAACCCACTACGAGCGATCTTGTTTCATTGGACAGATAAAAGGCACCAGAGCGGGGAGGGGGTGGGGGTGGGGGTGTTGTTACCCATACCATAAAATATTAATAACAGCTTTAAATATTTGGTTACCTTAACAATAAAGCAGTCATGGTATTTTCTACACTTTGCAATATTTACGCTAAAACATTGAGTCTATATGTACGTACGCATACTTGACTTTAACCCACAATGACGTCATGTCTGAAGTACTTTAAATTAATGTCAAGAGCCAAAATCTGGTGAAACAAGTCTTGTAATGATGTAAAACTAGTAAACAAACAGGTCTACTTGGTCAGTATCATTTCCTTGAATGTATCAACTAAATCCGTGCTTAAACGAAGAATTTGGTAAAATCAATTATTTTCCAGGCACTTATCTAACCATCATTATGAAACGATATGACTCAAATCAGAAAAAAACCAACCTCATTTTCCCCTATTATGTACTATAGCAAATAAGGTATGCTGGAAACAATCTATTTTCCCTTTTATAAACATCTTTTCTGTGCTGGACAAGTTATTGTTATGTCTTCATTTTTTTATGCAGAAGTTTTTTCCTCATAAAAAAAAAATAATTGTTGAACAGTGAAAATTAAGCATTTCATAAACTTACAATCATTGCCTTATTTTTATTCAAGTTTTCTATTACATTGACATTGTAAAAAAAATCTTTTTGAAAAGGGCAAAGTACCTCATGAAAAGAGAACATAAGAGAATTGACACTAAAATTGTGTGGGCTGACGATGGTGGCCATCTTTTCAACACGTAGATCTATCATTGCTAATTTCATTATGAATCTGTTGTACGCATGATGTTAAATACTGGGTGAAGATAAATACATATACAGTATTTACAACACAATTCAAGTAATCAAGTTGTGAATTTTGTATTAACCTCCACCCAGCACATGCTAAATATAAATCTACATCTATAGATGTCTTGAGACATTCTGCCAGTTATACAGTGTACATTGTAAATTTCTGAACAATGCAACTAATGTAATATATATATATATATATATATATATATATATATATATATATATATATATATATATATATATATATATATATATATATAAAGAATATTGTAAAATATAAAAGTGATTTTTTTTAAATTAAGATAGGCGTATAGTTATAAAAATAGTAAAGTACAATCTATATAAATGAAATCTAATGTAGATATTTTAGAATGCTCCGGTCCGTTTATATTAGTACCTGTTTCACGGATAAGATTATTTTGGTAGCCATAGCATTTAAGGTTCTAATGTCTAATGAGATCTTCACTTGAACAAATATTAAGGCCATACACAACTTACATGTACATGTACTTTACAATATACCTTTCCCACTGACAATTTTTCAAGATATCCTTAACAAACAAACAAACAAAGAAAAACCAAAAAAGCATACATTACAAGGAGAAAATTCTGTTTTTTCAAACAAAAAAAAATAAATACCCGGTAATAATAATAATAATAATAATAACGGTAATATGATTTTATCTGGTATTTCCTCATAATTTAGTGTACAGCATTACCAGGCATCGCAGAACCACGCAAGGGTCCTTGAATTATTAGATCTCTTAAATAATACATGGAATAAGAAAATGAAGTCCTAATAAAAATCTAATGGAAATGGGTCAAAACACATTAAATAATATTACAACCATATATTTTACAAATCAGTGAATGATTATTGGTATAATCCTTACATGTAACTAATAGATACCAAACAATATTTCAGCCAAAATTAGTATATACTCTAAATTTGATTTTAAAGCAAAATATGCTTTTTTGATCAAGTATATCGATACTTCTTAGTGTAAATTTCAATTCACATTAACGTACATGATAAGGATCCCCATCAGCAGTGGTCGTTTGAAGTTTTTCGAGAGCGCAGCATCATGAGATGCATATAGCAATGAAAAAAAACCCACTCTTATTTCAACTTTTACTTTTTATAATATTAATTTGGTGAATAGAAAGTTAGAAAAATGCGCTTTTATTTCAAGAAAAAAGAAAAAAAATCCTTTTATTTCAACAACTTTAAAAGTTAAGTTAGAAAAATTCTTTTATTTTTATTATATCCGTTTGTTAAATAAAAAGTTTAGCAAGAAAAGACCCTTTTATTTCAACAACTTTTACCTTTTAAAATATTAGTTTGGTGATTAAAAAGTTACGTTAGAATAAATACTCTTTTATTTCAAGAACTTTACTTTTAGTTTGGCGAATAAAAAGATAAGTTAAAAATACTTTTATTTTAACAAATTTTACTCTTTATAAAATTAGTTTTAGTGAAAGAAAAATAAAATTAGAAAATTTTCTTTTATTTCAACAACTTTTACTTTTTATAGAGTTAGCTTGGTGAATAAAAAGTTAATTTAGAAAAAAATTCTTGAAAGTTAATATTTGGTCCATAATGGCACAGAATACTAATATATATCCTTATGGAGACCATCTCAGCGCTACAATATTACAATCTTATGTGGGACTATAGGTAGATATTCTTCTTAAGCAAAAATAAAGAGGAGACGGACTGTTTAGAATCATTACCCCATTATGATTAAATTTTCATATCAGAACTTTCTTTGAACTGTTCCTTTCAAAACGCAAAATGGCAGCCAAGATAACTCACGTCACTGAACATGGCAGATTCATAAGATCAAAAACCAACTCAGTAACAGTGTTTAGTTATTTGATATTTAATGATGTGTTTTATGGCTATCATATCTAGGTACTGTCCTATTTATCACACATATTGAATAATAAATCTCCCACAGATATTAGAGTCATGCCTAACATTACTAAAATAAGCAATCACTAACAAGAATTTATTTTTCATGAACATTTTGCGCGTGTACTATGAAGTACTTAACTTTTTTATATTTATTTATTCTTTTTTATTTTATTTATTATTATTATTATTTTTTTTTTACATTTCTCGTGTTGACACATTTTGTCCTGAATAATTATTAAGTGGAAAATTCCCATAGCAGATTTTTTTAGCCTTATGAATAAATGCTGAATATATTTTGTTCACAAAATATATTCAGCATTTGTTCTTAATACATCGTATTAAAAGAGAAGATAAATAAAAAATATATATATAATTCAGAAGATTACGAGAAACTATATTCTCCAGTGTTCTTATTCTTTATTTCGTTGTGCCATCAACTAAATCACTGATCATAAGAATCTTACTTAATTATACATGTATCTATCTTTACTACTGTTGTTATTTGTTGTTTGTTTGTTTACTTTTTTGTTTTTTGTTTTTATTTTTGTTGTTTGTTTTTCTTGGTTCGATGAGTTACCGGGTAATCAAGTAATGTATATAGTTTTCTTAATATTGTAATATTCGTCCTACTGAATATTTAAGAAAAACTATTTCAAATTTAAATACTTGGTAACAAACAGATACTTTGTATAGATGTATTATAGTGTACATCTTCTGGAATCAATAATACACATGTTTCACTGCAATTAAAGTTTTTACACTATTACTATAACTATATATCAAACTATAAAATTAACAATTAGTCATGAGATAAATAAAAGAAAGCAAAAGATTACCAGAGCTAACTAAATAAAACAATAGTTATAACTTTTGAATAGTTTTGCTTTTGTTGTTTTTTCCTTTTTTTTCTTTAGATGTAAAATTTAATTTTTGAGAAAAATAAAATGAAAGCCTTTGATGTCTAATTCTAATAATGTCTTTCATTTTCTTAATCAGCAAATTGTTATCTTCTATTTCCCATAAAAAGCAATTTATAGACTCATTTCACACTAATACAAATTACAAATCTTTGTAATACAACTGTGACACAGCAAATTCTTCTGATGAAACTAAAAAAAAAGAATCTCAAAACAGAATAATTACTTACGAGTAATTGTAATTTAAATTCAATAATTAAATTAAATACCAATATTCAATATTAGATATCATTTTCATGCTGTATAATCTACTGTGTAGAAGATATGTATTCTTTCATTTTTAACCAATGCTTGTAAATATACTTCTTTACAGAATTGTTTTAGAGCTTAATAGTTAATGATTTGGTCATAGATAAAATATATGCTCTTGTCACTAAATGTGTATATTTCTGCATTTTTTAATTGCTCCACATGATTAGATTTCTTACATTTACTCTACTTAACTGTGTGACAAACCAATTAAATTCTTCAGTGCTTCAAATTTGAAATTGTCTCGTAAGCAAATAATGCAAATATTACATCTAGATGCATAAAAGTTTCTTCTTATCAAACTACTTTAATGAAAAGTAAAAACGAATATTCCTTTTTGATTCCTTATGATTCCCTTTGTTTTATAAGATACTAACTTACCCTTCATTTCAGCGCTGAGGTACATTACGGCAGAGTTACAGACTTTTCTACCGACACGTTTGACGGGCTTCTCGGAGAACAATGATGCACCTATAGTTTACAGTTTGTCAACAAGCCATAAAAAAGTTCCTACAGACAAATATATTATGTCAGACTTACACATCTGACCTAGAGGATGATTCTTGATGATTCC